GAGGGAAAAGAGGCAGATCCGCCAATCAACAAATCCCTGCATTTCTCACACAGGTGGTTGGACAAAAGCTGAGTGCACCATCAAAGACATTTCATGTCTACCGAATGCCTTTGTACACAACTAACTCCCACAATTTCCTTAGGGAGAGCTCTAAAGGTTTTAAACAAATATTTTTCACGTATTCAAACTAAGTTGTTGAAAAGTGATGAGACTTTTAAATTCCTCCATTTTTTGCTTTGAAATAAAGACTATATTTTAATTAAAACCAACCAGAGTAGGCAACAACATCAATAAATAATCATTAACCGATTTTGAGAAAAGCCAGTGAACAATAGAGCATATAAAAATACATTGTATTCTGTTTGAGAGAACTGTACAATGCTTACTGTTAAGAGTCATTTTAACCAAGTAGCTTTAAAATAAATAATGATTTGGTCCTTAAGAGCAGAAGGGAAAAAAAAGTTCACTATAGGAAGCTTACAGTCATTTCATTCCTACTGACAACAGGTTTCTGGTTGATTCGTTCTCTTTAGTTAAAGCAAAATGCAAGTTGTCAAACTCAAACATTTTATTTTAAAACTGTACCTTTTAAAGGTATACTCAGGCTATGAAAGGCCCTAAAACTTCCTGACTTTCAGTTTGAATTTAGTGCAGTGCAGGTCTACTGCATGAAGAAAACCTGACAAAAGGCAGAAGTTACGTATTTGGTATTTTGACTCAGCTTGACGTTTTAAAACTTCACACGTTCCAGGAAACCTTTGGAAGCTCATTTAAGTTATAGACTCTACACAACAAACTATTTGAGGAGCTTTCCTTCATGTTTGTCTGAAGAATTAAGCATTGAACTAGTCACTGCGTTAAAATCAGGATTCCAGAACAGTTAAGGGTTGGTGCAAACATCTTCACTAAATGTCTGCAAAAATTTAAATGTAGCAAAAATTACTGCCAAACTAGTAAAATTAAAGCATGATGCTTTTTTTTTCTCTTTTTTGAAGAGCCTCACTTCAGATCTTACATCAAGTTGTTAAAGATACATAGCTTTATAAATGAGCTTTAAAATGTTTAGAAAGTTTTCAAATTTCATATTGGTTGAGATTAAAGATTAACAATTTTGGTACTTCTGCTCTAAGCACTGGAGCAAAGTAACTGTGAGCAATGAATGTATTTTTTTCCAAGACTTGTCTTTATTAAAAAAAAAAAAAAAAAAAAAAAAAAATCACTTAGAGGAGTTCCGTGCACTTTAAAACGCTCGGTGAGAGATGCTGCAAGATTAAAAGCTCAGTCAGAAGAGACTGAATCTAATTGCAATTATAGAATTAAAAGATTTTCCTTCCTAATACTTCTTATCTCTGAAAAGCTCTATCTTTATAAAATTTCACAGACTGAAGAAGCACTCTTATCTGTTGCAGAAACTAAGCCCTTCCATAAAGAATATTGTGTCCCAAAGAATTTTAGCTACCACAACGAACCGATCAATTGAGATTTTTCCCTTTTTATGAAAACTACTACTTTAAATTACAGGATTAAAGAATCACTGAAAAATTAGATCTAAAATTATTTAAGCTTTCAAAAAATCAGAATACTGGGATAAGTTCAGAATTGGGCAGGGAACACGCAGGGCAGGAAGAGCTGCCAATAGTCTTACTGGCCTGCCCAACTACACAGACCTGGAGCTTCCATGTGGCCACCAGCTGTAGGGCTTGGAGCTTTTATATGGCCCTAAAAAGCAGAACTTATCGATTGTACGTCCCACTGTAGACATTGAGTAATCACTTGTCTCCAGTAATCTACCATCTAGAAAGGCAATAAAGACAAACTTTGCAAGATAACTTTATCTTCCCTAGAGAGCTGTTTCACTTTTTTGCTTATTCCACATAAATTGGTTTGTAATTATCTTTATAAGAAATACGAACCCAAATGCAGATACTGGAATTACACAGTCTGAAGAAAATAAAACCAACAACAAAATCAAGGATGAACATGGGTGATCCTAGATCTAGGAAAGAAACCATTTCTTTTGATCATTTGAAGACAGGGAAAGATTTTTGTGTAACAGTTACCAGGGTATGTAGGAACTATGCATTCCATTTATGAGGACTGGAAACAGCCTGAAATCTATTTCAAGCAAAGAATCTCTTAACAGAAATATACTGTCAAGGCTTTCCATTCATCCCATCTTTCTGAGGATATTCAAAGGGATTCAAAGCTCCTGTGTTGAACTTGAACTACTTTTAGTGCTAAACCCTTATCTTAAGATTTACATTGTAAAAGTTGATTTCTGAAACAAGCAAACAAAACTAACACACCCATTCGCCCTCAATAAACCCCAAACAAAAGCCCTGCAGGAGGCTCTGAGCCCAGAAAAAACTAAGACAGGAGCTAGTCCGAGTTGTCAAAGCCACTTCCAGAGAACAGGTTGTGTGAGACTGACACCACCACAGGTACACATGGCTTGGAGAGAGATAATGATAGAGAAGACAGTAAATCAAACATTTTCAAGCATCTAATGTAATAGTTTTCCTTTATATTTCCAAGCAAAACCCTGGAAGATATCATCTTTACATTTCCTAAAGTCACACACGGAATTATAAACAGCTGAGGCAGAAGCTGCTCCATCTATTAACATCAATGCCATGATACAGATTATACACACACTGGGGAGGCCGAAATCTGCATTTCTCAAACCACCACAGCCAGAGTATCAGTTTAGTTCTATCCATGCCTTTGTAACGAAAACATCATTTGTTTCTTCACTTTGCGGGTGCTGAGGCACTTGAGCAGGTTGTCCAGAGAAGTTGTGGATGCCCCATTCCTGGAAGTGTTCAAGGCCAGGTTGGATGGGGCTTTGAGCAACCTGATCTAGTGGAAGGTGTCCCTGCCCATGGCAGGGGGGTTGGAACTAGATGATCTTTAAGGTCCCTTCCAACCCTAACCTTTCTATGATTCTAAAATCTTACATTCTAGTGTGTGTTTTTTATTGCCTACTTCTGATGTGATGAATTCAGACTACAGATTTGGAAGTTTGGGAAATTTTTAATTATTACTTTTAATACTTTGCCATTACTCTTTAGTTTTCCAACTAAGGTCAGAGAAGCATTTGTTGATAAGCTTCTTCCAATCCACCTTTCAAGCATTATGTTTTTAGGAAAGAATCATGTTGTATTGGTAATAGTTAGTAAAGTAACATTAAAGGCAAATATATTTAGAGCAGTGTTAAAACACAAAGATGTAGGGGAAAAAACAAGAACACGTAATCCAGAATTTTAGAAAGGCCCTTGTGAATAGAGTGTTGAGTGAAACCTTTTTTTCCTCTCTTCATTCGTTATTATGGTAATGTTTGTCTACCTCTAGTCCGGGTTGATCTACTTGTTTCTTTTTGCACTACTTTATCCTCTGTCACAGTTCTAAACCAATCCACCTTTAAGGCTTCTCTCTGTATTCTATCCACAAGGTCCCTGCTAAAAATTTAGATTATTTTCCCAGTCTTGATAAGGTGAAAAAAAGGAAACTACAAATAAGCATACATGATAGATATTATTTAAGTCTGATCATCATGAAACGAAAGAGCCTTACCTTTATCAAGGAAGAAAAATAAAAGAGGTAAACAAGGAAAGATATACGGAAAAAGATTGGCTGTGGATGCTGCATTTCAAAAAGCAAATGCATATCAAACTACTGCTATTCTTGAAAATGCTTTATGATCAGGGTCTCTCCTGCATCCAATGCACTCAGCTACAGAATAAACCCTTTTTGAAGCGGAAGTGGTTGTTCATTTATTTTTATATTTCTTACTTTTCTAAAGCCATCCAGGTAAGAACCACTTTCACTGGTAACCTCCCTGACTTTATACACAGCTGTTTTGAGATATATAGGAGTGCCACATTCAAGTCAATGGTGTATTAACTTTGAAACATGGTAATTGCCCAAATGTCAACATAGATGGGATTTTCAAAGGTGCTTAGGCAATTAAGCAATCTTATGATTCCAAAATGCCGCACTGAAAACCCAAGGCACTGTCAACTGCTTTGCTGCTGACCACCCTAACAGAAACATCCTACCAATGTATCTATTCAGCAATTTCAAATTTCTTCTCACTAAGCCAAACCTACCCTAAACTCTATTTTACCTTTCTTTATCATAGATATTCATACAGTTAACATTATTTATGTATTTATTCTGGCAATACTGTTGTGAGGTGGGGAAGTGCTGTTATTTCCATTTTACATGTCACATCAATCCAGGCAGAACAGGACACAGGAGCTGTATGTTAGCTCTCAATATGGTCACAATACAATCATAGCTTGTGAATTAAAAATACCTGTGACTTGCCCAGAACTTAAAAGCATGAGTTCAACATAAGTTCTTTTAAATAGTAAAATAAGCACTGATTGTGTTATTCACGTTGAGAAAGGATGCTCCACTTTTTAACCTAAATGAAGCAATTATAAAGTTTATGGCCCACCACACCACAACATGCAGACTCCAGGAAGCTTGCTTCAAAACTGCCACGTGTTGAACATTACACGAAGCCTCCCAAATACCCGTTCAGAAAACCACTTACACAAGAGAAAGATTCCCCAGAAACAAGTTAAGTGAGGGGTACGTATTGAATACTACTTTCGTTACGCCAAAGGAGCACCATGTTTTTGTACCTAATAAAGGCAAGATGTCCACAAGTACAACATAGTATAACTGTTAGAGGGATACTACATTACACGGCATATATACAAGAGTAAGAAAGTCCTATCCAAATAAACAAATTAAGCAACCTCAGTCAAAAAAGTAATTTTTTGCCATGCTAAAAACGTCTGTCTTTCAAGACATGCTTATCCTAGAGAATAAAAGCTCCTTTTTGCTTTATCTTCAACTATTTTTGCCCCAAACAGTTAAAGCATGTGCATCTTATCTAAAAACTAGTATCAAAGCAATTCTGTACAAATCTCTAATTTGTTAATACAGCAGGCAAAATTGAAAAGCATTTAATAAGTGACTCTCCTTACCTTCAGCACGGCAATGAATGGTACAAAATTAGCTCTCTGAAGACCATTTTTATAGAGATCTGAAAGAAAGGAAATCAGTACCATTTTGCTACTTAGTCTTAATAACAACGTCAGCTTGTCTTTTAGTCTGGCAAATAAAACTCGGTGTTGCTAAAGAGAGGAGGAACAAAAGGTGGAAAAGGAGAGCTGAAATTGATTTCTCTCCTTTTGCTATATGAAAATTCAATACATTCTTAAGGAAGAAAGGAACATGCTGAGAAAGTCTGAAAAAGGCAGGGAGTGAAAGATGACTTAAATCTCTAATGACATATAATTGATTTTAGCAGAAGAAATAAGAACAGCATCTGTTTTCAAGTCAGGATATAAAAAAGGATTTGTAATACACACATTGGTATGATTATAAGGCCAAAACTATGCAACTGCTAAGCCCCAAGTACTTGGCAGAGGGCAAAAACCCAATGTAAACTAAAAATAAGCTATTTGAGTTTACAAAGCTAGTATCATTCTTATTCAGTGTACTGTGATACACTTTATCTTCTAGCTATTTTATCAGTTACACTCCCCTTTCCAAAGTAAAAAAAAAAAAGGTCAGCCCTAAGGCAAAAGAAAAAAAAAGAAAATTAAATGAAAATACAAACTTATGCAAAGTTGCTAAAAATACAACTGAATTTAAAAAAAAAGTGAATGTTATGAAACAAAATGCAAATTTGCACTCAAAGAAAAGACGAATTATAAAATTAAACTACAAAGCAGCATTTTATATCTTTCTTTATCTCTGTATTTTATACAGCATAGAGTTCTTTTCTCTGAAAACTATCCAACTGCCCAACATGTTCATAACAGAATGATTTGTTCATTGAAATGCTATCAACTTAAACTGTACAGTGGGCTGCTTTTTTTCATTAATATTAGGATGCTTTATAAAAAGGCAGTACAGCACCTATGACTGACAACAAGAATAAAATACAGACACTTGGAGAAGACGTCACCAAAACTCCCCGTGAAGACCATGCCAGGTTATTAAAACCACCTATATTCCCTGTAATGCCTGAAGGTCATAACTAGGCTGCAACTTTTATGCTCTGCCAACATCTCATGGTGGACAGAGGATACACTGCATGAGAAATCAATAGGACACCTACAAAATGGTTTTAAAAAAAACTAGATACGTACACAGAAATATTTTGGAAAATTATCAGTGAAGGTGATTCCACACTCTAATTACTAACAAAGTGTATGAAGCCATGTGTCATTCTCATTCATAACTCTCCAAATCACAGCAGCTATACGCTTGCTAAAACAGCAACCAATTGCATATTTACTCGCAAAAATCAGTGAACATTTAACAGTACTATAAGACAGCTACTTCTGTTAGCTCTTCTAGTTAATAAGGCTGTGAGTTGTCTATTATGTCTCTGTTCTCTGAGGATGAGAAAAATAAACAGTAATTTTGGTGGAGAAATGAAGCCAGAATTCCTCAAAACTGCACCTGAGTATTTCCCTTCACATTCCCCTGGGGCAGAAGTTTAACACGGTTAAGTGTACCACTAACTGGCAGCAGCTGAGTACATCTGTTCTGTAATGAAAAACCCACTTTCCCCTTCTGTAACCACAAGAAATGAATCTCTCAATTCAGTCTAAAACCTTGATGTGGCATACTACACTAACCCAACTCTCCTTCCCATGGGAAGATTCCAGACACACACCGTAAGCACAAAGTAGGGAGAAGGCAAAAAGAGACAGGCTTTGACCAATGTCTAGACCGCGACATAGCTCGAGACGCCGTTCTTGACGTTCTCTGTTGGGTAGCTAGTACAAGTGGTTGTCTTTCAGGTTGACACAGTGACTTATGATGTACTAAAAAAAAAAAACCCACACGACAATAATGGTCACAAATCGACATCTCATTTTAAGATGTGGGATACAATCCCCAAGCTACAATAAAAATCTCTCCTAAAGAGTAGTGCCTCAAAGAAACCAAGGATGGTTGCCATCTGAGTGAGGCACTAGCGTGCAGTTTATCTGTAGCTAACCCAAATACAGTAGATATGATTTCATCTTGTTTGTTCAAACAAGGAAAATAAACTAACAGGAAATTATTTCCCCCTCTAGTAAAAACATTTGAGTGGTTTCTTCTCTCTCTCTCGTCTTAAAAAAAGAAGTGCATTTTATATCTTTAGTGATTCTCTTTTACTTGATTAATTTGGGTAGAAAAATTAACCAGTAGTTACAGTTAATCTAATTCTTCAGTATTTTTTGCAAACATTTGAAATTAATCAATATGAACTGTCATAAAAGTTGCATAGGAAGCACACATTATGCTAACTGCTAATATAACACTGTAACAAACATTCTTCTTCTCTACAAAAAAATTACAATTACTGCTTAGTTAAAACCTATACAGATCTGGGGACTCTGTAGAAGGATCTACCTAGCTAGTCACTCTCTATGTAAAAATAGCTACAAATGGAAACAACTCTCCATCTAAATAACTCCCAACCAGTGCCCTCAAACCAGGCTGTGAGAATAGCATCTTGAGAAGGGGTTCTCCTTTGAGCTGGTGGATTAAGTCTGCAAGTTTCTGAGTTAGAAACCAGGAAGGAATGTACTTTCATTTCCCCTGTCTTCTGCAGAATACAACCTTTTCCTATCCTGGAATATATACATATAAACCAGTCTTCCTCTACTCCCCTGTCGCCAAACACCCTCTTATTGGTTTGGATAAAGTAGAGGTCAGATTTGGCTGGAGGTGGGTGGAGAAACACCTTGAGTTTGAGAGGACTAAGACTAAGTAAAAAAACTTTCTTCCTTAAGAACACAAAAAAAACAGGACAAATTGAAGTATCTCAGATTCTTAAAGACTAGAGAGTTTATTAGTATTAAATACTATATGATTTTAATCCGATTGTTTTGTAAGATACTGAGATTCATTGCAGTTGGATAATACTAATAGCATGTTTGTTTTTACCTTCTGGCGGCCTGTTAGATGTTGCCACAACGACAACCCCGTTTTGGAACAGATTTTCAAAAAGCTGCTTCAGAATCATGGCATCAGCAATGTCAGTGACCTGTAGAAGACAACACATTTGTTTTATCTTGCTTTCAGCTTCTGCCACAATAGATCTGCAAGTGGCTTTATAGCTAGGAAAAATGCTTGTTAGTGAAAGCCATGGAGAAAGATTCTAATTATTGCTTGGTGAGAAAAAAAAATACAAGGGATAATTAATAAGCAGTCAATGTACCACGGTCTTTCAAAACTTGCCTGTTCTTTATTGCCGAACTCCACCATTTCTTTACCAATTGCTAAATGATTCCACGTTAACTTCTATTATAAAAGTACAGGTGGGAGACACAGAAAACAGACCTAGACATTTAAAAGGTCTGATTAATTAGAAACAACATGAAAAAAAACCCAGAAGACAGAAAGAAAATATACACCAGCTGTTTTACATTTCTATTACCTTTGAGGCAAAGGTTTGCAGAGGTGAATTTAAATGGTCATGGGACTTCAGAAATAAAGACAAGTAGCCAACTATACATAATCAGCTGCTGTTGAAAATAGAATGATATGACATAGATACTATTGTGTGATTGTTGCAAAAAACAATTCAACAGATGGCCCATCACAAAAATAAGCAATTTCATTGTTCTTTTTAAGTGCCTTCTATTACTGTCCATGAATAATCAAAAGGCACGGCAGTCACTTCCAGCACAGTCAGCCTCTTCTAACCTTCAGGCACAAAACACTAACAAAAAAATAAAAATGGGTGGGACAAGTGAAGGGCGGGTGTGTGGGGGGGGGTGTGGGTGTGTGTAGAGACTAAAAAATAAGCCATAAAGTAAAATTTCTTTAAATATCTAAGTTTAGCTTAATTAACTTGCTTTACAGTACCAAGAGATAAGAGGAATGCAAAATAGTAACCACTGTGTACAAATGAAAAAAAGTAATAATAAATATTAATAATTATAAATATAAAAATAAATAAGTAATGTTATCTGATGCAGAATTCTGACGTTTTCAACTCTGTTGCACAAAAAATAACTCTTAAAAGTTCTATCAGAAAGCAAGAGCCATTTTGAGAACTGGGATGCAAATATGACCACTTTTTATCTAGTGCAGCTTGGGAAAGAGAAAATTTCTGCAAGGTAAAGCAGGTAGAAGACAGTAACTAAAGCATTGTCATTTCTCGTTTTTTACTGTATCCAGCATTCATTGCAACAGGGAACAAAAGCAAAGGTTACCAATAAGGAGAGCCTGCTAATGGAGAGAATGGAGAAATTTCATTAGCATTTAAGAGAAAAGATTTTTATGAGCTAGTGCAGCTTTCCATTATGACTTACATAAAACAAAACAACAAAAAAAAACACAAACCACTAGACTAATAGTTAATTTACATGTGTAAGTGCCTGAGACTCAGTCATCCACTGATTGGTACAGTTCCACGTAATGAATGACAAACATAAGCATGTATTATCAGTAATTAGTATTAGCACAAAAATAAGAGCCTAATTTTTATTAATAGCATACGGGTTAGTAAAAACTCCCTAAATTGTAGTTTGCTTTAAGTCCAAGCGGTACCAATGGTATATACAGAGACAAACACTGTTCCAGCTTACCAAGAAGTAGGGATTCTGTTTTCATGGGCAATACTAACATAGGTTACAGTCACATGCCAAAATTAGAGCTTCTAATTACCTGTGTATAGTTATTCAATTGCTAAACAATAACTAGCCTCTTTTTATTGGCCAACCTCTGTGTTCTGAAACATCAAAATTACAATTACAAATGGCTTAATTCTAGGGGGTTTTCTTCAACACGAGGACACATTTTTAGAAGACTTTTGTGATTAAAAAAAAAAAGATTTTAATATTTACACTAAACCGTATGACAAAGATCAGTAAGAAGTAGCAATGCTTTTATAAACTGAGAGCCTGTGGCTCAGGTAAACGCTGACAAAAAACCTGCTTCAGAATGGACAAACTCAGAAGTTTAGTGCTGTCACTAAGGTACTGGCTACCATACAGTATTTGCCAAAAGAAATATTTAAGACATACATAGCAATTATTTTTTTTTTTAATAAGACAATATTTGGAACGCACAAAACTACTTTTAAAGTACAGAAATATTTTTCCACACAAGTCAACTCTCCACTTGTTTGACAGTTGTCTAGACTTTGCAAGAAGATTTACTTCAGAGTACTTCTGTTCTGCTTTAGTTCACTGTCAGAGGAATGTGCAACCTCAGCAATGCTTTTGTCTTGAAGTTCTGCATTTGGTTTCCTCCAAATTATGAGCATTAACAATACTTTTTGCTGTCCCTGTTACAATATCACTTGTCTATTTGTCCAATCTTAAGATAAATAAATAAATTCAGCTTATACTCCTTTTTTCCAAAGGTATTTGAAAGTAACCTGAAGTGTTTAAAGCAAATATCAATACTTTTCTGATGTTTTCTCTGCACACAAGTATTTTGCCAAAGTAGTACAGACCCACCTTGACTTTCCATCTGTCGAAACAGACAGTAGCTTTGTCCGCATGTCATTGCAGTATATGTTCCAAGTCTCCAGCTCTTTTCAGTTTCATTTTAATCTAGCAATTCTTTAAATATGAGTGAATCAGACTGCAGTGAAATCTAGCTATTATCTCCACTGGGGAAATAAGCTACGAACATCCTGAATTAGATATGGCTCCTTATTATCAATGTTAGTATGTCACCGTGTGAGCTGCCCTTCCAGCTACTGCACTACTTTACGACTATCTAAGCAGAGGGTTTCTTATCCCAAATTCTGTGCCTTCTGCAAAACTTCAGAAAGCTGGGACTCCTTTTCAGTAGGCAAAGCCTGCATAGCGTTCCATGCTACAGAAAATCAGTCAAGAAATCCAGCTGTTCAGAAATCTGTGAATTTAGAACATCAGTACACTCAGAACAAGTGAATTTCGAACACTGGTACACCCAGAACAAGAACAGAAGATTTTTAAAGTCCACATAAGAATGCGAAGTCTTAGAAATACATTTTAAAGTATAGTTCTTGTATTACTTTCCCAACTGTGATCCACCGATAAAACCAGGTGATTTTCCCAACTGAGGTGACTGATGCACCTCAAGCAAGTCAGCAGGGGGAGCAGGCAATCAATTCGGAAACGAAAAATACCAGAGTTCCTCCCTTTAAAATGTGGAAGTATGACAGTCTGGAAACACAGCAACGCCAGGATATGCGAGTGGTGGGCATTTATACAGAAAAGCTGGTATTTACATTAATACATGGTACAGCAAAGATGCCTCTTGACCATCTGAGCGTTTGATGTCATGACAGTTAACACTCCTCCCTGCCCTCTCCAAACCTTCCCATTCCTTCACAGTGTAAATACAACTGCCTCTGTATTCAGATTTTGTACTGCAAGTTTTGGAAGCCCAGCATTCACATTCACTAGATAAAGCACAATTTAAATGAACAGCAGCAATTACAATGACCCCACACATTCTGAAACCATAGACCAAAGGACTACCCTTTGCTGAAAAATGCAAGAGAAACTTAAACCAAGAACATCTACTACTTTACAGCTAACAAAAATCCCCTTCACGAGAGCTGATCATAAACTGTTTTTTTCTTGGGTGCGCAGGCTGGTAAAATAATAGCTGAGAGATATAAATTGCTCTATCCATTTCAATAATGTATTAATTTAAGAGCATAACAGACAACTTACAGTTAATAGATAATTCTTTTACTATTGGTGATTTGAGAGCTAACACAGATCTGTCATCTTGCTCTGCATTTTATCTCTGAATTAAAAAACCCTCAGCTGATGAGAGCCGCCAAACACCTCTGGCCTCTCTCCTAAAAACTTCTATAAAGCAACTCTACACTTAAATTTGTAACATGCCCTTAAAAGAAAACTCGCAAGATGTATAAAACAAATGAAACAACCAAGTTAGCTTGGGCAAAGATAATTTCATGAGTTTATTTTTAATTTTCACATTTAATTCAACAAAAGTTTCTTAAAATGTTCATTACATTGATATAATCCTGCACTGCCATGCCAAAGGCTCCATCCAGTAACTCTAGGAAAGAATTTTGGTTGAACTGGACATTTTATTTCCATGTCCGTAATCACCTAGATGATTTTGTTGCATTGTATGAACTACGGTAAAGACCAGGCATGCCAAGCAAGTATCAGGTGGCTGCTTTCCTGGACACCGCATAGGCTCAGTACAGGATGATGGTCCCTGCCCTGAAGGACTCATATGAGCCTCTCACCAAACTCTAATACCCGCTTTGTATGACCAGTAACTAAAGAGGTAAATGAAAGCACTATAAGGGGACTCACACCAGCAACTTGCATCTTATATCCTTTAAAAAAAAAACACAGCACTATCTTCAAAACTGTGAAATAACTTGTACTCTTCAGGTCACTACTGACCAGTGATTCAAATATTGTATTAGTAGTAACAAGGGTCATAATTTAAGATCAAAAGTAATTTTATGAAGTTTCCTTTGAAGCGAAGGAGTAATCTCTGGCTTCTTACCTGAAATTCATCAAAACATAAGAGGGCAGCCTCTTCGCTTATTTCCTCTGCTACTGGTGCAATTGGGTCATATGATTTGGCCATGAATCCTGCCTTTCTTTTTGGTAAGCTCTGCTTAAGGCGATGTATTCCTCAGTTGATAAAACAGAAAAGAACAAATATTTATTTATTTTTCTAAGATAGGGAGAATAAAGTTATTTACCTACCAAATAAAAAGTAACCCAGTCCAGTAAAAATAAGAAAGCTTCAAATTTAGTCCTATTTCAAGAGGGCAAAACAGTTTTCAAACACATCCAGGCAACTATTAAAAGCTCACAGATTCTGCGACTTGTATTTTCTTGTTTAGAAACATGTAAAACAAAAACCAAAGAACCCTTGAATGCTATGCACCTATACTTTATCTTTTCAAAACTGATATAAATTCAAGTTTCATCTTGCTAAAATTCATGGCCTTAGTTTCAGTTTCACTTTGTAATTTGGCATCTTCTCTCTGTATGAAAAGAGTATGAAAAACCCTTACTGTGTTTACAAATCAATGGCACAGCTCTGTGCATTGCATGCTCTGAGGATATACTTAGAATGCATTTAGTTAAAAGAATTCAGTCACAGCAACACAGTTATATTTTAAAATTTAAAGATGACAATACTAGCACAAAATCAGATTATTACATCCATACTGTACTGTCTTCAGACAAACATTCAGAAAACAAAGATGCTGTAGTAAGAATCTACCTTTGTTAAGGTTAAGCACAAATGACAAAAAATGGAAACAAAAAATCTCAAGTGACTTGACGATGATAGAAAAAGAGGGCACTAAAAGTGGCAGTTGTTTACACCGATTAAAGCTGTCACAATACTTATAAATTACAGCATTATTTAACAATTTCATAGTATTTTAGGGTCATAGAATTTAGAAACAGAAGCAGATTTTAAAATATCTAAAACAGTATCTCCATCAAAATGAAGTGCCTTATTAACCCTGTCAGAAAATTTTCTGAAACTTAGGATGAACTTACTTCTATTATTTTTACCTCTAAATTACTGATAGTATTACTAAGTTTGCCAAACAGAACAGCTCTCATTCTCCTTGGCGTTTATACCTAATTTGCTTATTGTTTATTCAAAATGCAGATTGAATTTAACCTTTACTGTTTCAGTTTCAGCAATTGCCTTCTTCAGATTGTGTGTAAGCCAACTGGTAACTGGAAAACATTTAGTTAAGGATTTAATCTGAAATATACATCCAAGCTTTCTAGACAATCAGGTATACAGAATCTTTGAGAAAAGATATTTGAGAAATAATATGCAATGAATATCTATTCTGGCATGACAGACAATGCTAAAATCCTTTTACTTCTCTCCTATTTTTCACTTTTTTTGCTTAAATACTTAAATAAAGTTACACTGATTAATATGAATATGAGAGAGGGTTTTTTTATAGATATCATATTTCACAAAATTCTTGTAAACACCCGTGTCTGCACTTACTCTGGTGTACGTCTAGCATGAAGCCATGAAAATGGACTCTCTTTTTCCTTTCTACTTCTAAGTGAGAATAGAACATGTCCATCACCATTGTCTTTCCTGTACCTTGAAATAAAAAACAAAAAAACCCCACCCAACAGGTAATTAATTTAAGAACAGTATGTAATGATTACAATAATGATTGTTCATTAGCTTTGAACTAATGAAACTATACTCTTCCACAGAGTAAGTACAACACCGGACTGTTTGTGAAGAACAGTTATATTTTCTGTTCAAAAACTTGGAACCACTGCATTTTCACTTTTCTGTTTTAAAATTTTTATCCATCAGAGATGGCCCAACGGTTGCACAAATAGCTCCCTATGCATCCAGAAAATATCCTTAGTATTTCCTTTGGAGAAGTGAGTATTTTTTCATGCTGCATTGTTGCACTTAGAATACACATAAATTCTCCCCAACCCGCCCCCCCCCAATTACTTCCCAAATTTTTAAATTGCATTCTTAAATATTAGTGAGTGGGGAATGTTGAAAAAAAAAAACTAATCCAACAGCTTCCAGAATTCAGAATGTAATTGTATTAAATAACATCACAAGGAGGAAGAAAACTAACCCTGGAAAATTAGTTAAAGCAATAATGCTACATAAAGCTTTTAGACACTTCAGAATTTGAATAAACACACATTTAGAGAACATTCCATTGGAATTGATGCAACTGAAACTTACCAACATCTCCATAGACATAAAGACCTTTTGGGGGTTTGTTTTTCGCAAACAACTGCAAATCAAGAGAAAAAGAACAAATGAGAATATGGGGTGAAATAAAAACAAGAACATTGCTGTGGTGAAGTAACAAAGTAGCTACACTTAACCACTAAAGCAGCACTAGCTACCGAAGCGTAACCTTGAATAAATCATTAGCTCGGAATTGGTAAGCAATCTTAACGTCCTATTTGTGCGAATTCTATAAAAGAGTCCTAACATACGTGCAAGCGTTTGTTGGGGTTTTTTAGATCATTGTGAAAATATCCCTATCTCCAGTCCTAGTGCACATGCCTTTTTACCAGAACACATATAAAATTCTTAGTTTCCCAATCCATCATCATCAAAACAAATCCTTCTCCTCATTAAGTCATTTGAACTAAGAGTCCTAGGAAAAAGGATATAAAATTAAGCAGTATTGTAGTATTCATAGATACATGCACTATATACCTATTAAAGCAGCTCTGCTTAAGATATAAACCATTAAGATTTAGAAAACGAGCATTGCAGAAACAGTGAGTGTTGTAGGTCTCCTTTCTCTCCACTTTCTATCTTGAATGCAGAATCATCTCTGGTTTAAATAATTAAAATTAATGGAGTCACAATAAAAATATGTACCTGTATACATGTGCACACTTGTGTGTATATATCTCTATAAAAGGTTATTTTCAAAGTATGCCTTTTATTAATCATTTTCTCAAGAGATTTATGTTTATCTTGAATGAATACTGCTTAAGAATTTTTAATGTCTTAATATTATTCAGGACATATTTTATGACAGCCGATGGTTTATTCTGTTTTACTCAAATATATATTTTTATGGAAAACCTCGCAATAACATCAAGACTTTCAATTTGAAACAGTCCTCCTTCCCCAGTATTGTGCACAGCCACTTCCAAGTATAACTCTAAAAACAAATAATTTCTAAAAAAACAGAAATCTTAACAAAATTCTCATCAAATCTATGAAACTGAATTGACATCCACAAAAACACTGCAGAGAAGTATTTGGTTATTTTAAAGTGCTCCACTTTCAGAGTTCTATGAGCTGAGCCAAAACAGAGGAAAATTAAAATTGCAACCCTGTGGTCTCATTTGGAGCTGGGTAATTGCTAAACAACTTGAATCTAAAGCCCTTTTCAAAATACAGTGCCATGTTAAAGAAATGGGGGAGTCAGTAGCAAAACACTAATTAAATATGAAAGAAAATACATGACCAAAAGGTAGAAAGACGATGTCTCAGGTCTACAGTACCAGTTTATTCAGAAAATATGCAAGCATAGCTCTTACATAAGACCCACTTACAGATTTCATTTAGTTATATTAATAGGATAATAAAAAATTCGTATCATCAATCTGTGGCTGAACAGGGTTTCAGATGTTCTGAAACCGTTCCATTAATAGACAAGGCTGCAACTATTTGCTAGTGCTTTGAAAGCATTGCAAGACAATTTCATGGATGAACATTCTTCAGTTTTTAAGAGCTTGCACTCGTTAAAACTACTGATGTCTAAAGTTACACAGCGAAGAAAGGAGAAATGGAAAAAAATCCAGGAGACTTTCATAAGAATTTTTTTATTTTTAATTTGAGATTTACAACAGTCATTTTAACAAGATACAAGACTGTCACATTAAATTTTTTACATACAAAGGCTGTATTAATGTAACTTGCAGTTTCATAAGGAATGACACAAAGCTAAAAAAACAAACCACTGTTCAGATCAGCGCTTTACCTGTCTTTGTAAAGGTTATTTAACCAGAACAAGTACTAAAGCCTACATTTTTATACCATTTTATTAATTACATTTAATCATCTTGAAGTTTATCTTTTTACGCATATTTTATTCTCACTCCAGTACTTACCATTTCTAGAAAACATGTTACAGAAAATATGGGGTTTTGGCTAAAGGAAACAATACAATGGTTTGGGCTCCATAGAGGTCTAAATCAACTTCTGATTGATTTAAAAAATTGGAATTAGGTTTCTCGTGAAGACAGTAATTTTTGAGTGATATCTAATTGCTAGGAAAAAAAAATGGATAGATACTGTGTCAGATCGAAACACATTTCCTAAAGCTGATCATCTCTAAAAGCAAATCAAATGCCAGAAAAACTCTAATCGTCTTTGAGCAATTAAAGAAGTCTGGAGGAAATTTTTTACGTATACTTCTGCCAGAAGTGACACTACTGACATTTTTAGGATACTCATTTCCTCAATCCTGTCAGGTATTGTATAATACTAAAAATTTATTTTTACATTCTTGGGTTGCTTTTTTTTAAACACGTACTTTATTTTAAAAAAGTAAACTCAATCAGTGGACTTTTAATACTGAAACTCAGACATCCTACTGGTCTGAAGCTATTCTGCATGATCATAAAATTGATTTTTTTTTATTATTATTATTCTCGTGCATCTTCTGAAGCCTGGAAGTTGCGTAAGAAAAAGAGTAACTTCCACCAGGATTGCTCATAAAGTCCAACCAATGCTGCTGGTTCAACTTAAGAGTACGGCAATCAGTCAAAAAGTCAGTGGTACGTGGAGACAAAGAAAGCAGAAGACTGATCTTGGTTCTAGTGAAACACACACTCTGAAAGAAGGAAGGGGGAGACCTAATGCAGAAGATCCTCTAGTTACTCTAAAATAAGGGTAGTCTTGTTTACATCAGGGAAAGAAGGGAGAAAAGTGGGAGATGTAGGAAGACAAACTAAATGAATGAGCTTCTCCTTGCTCCTCACTTCTGTATTATCCTGAGGTGTATTTGGGGTCTCAGTATAATAATGTTCAATTGGTTGACAATAAATTTGTTTTCGCAACAATGACAGGATTTAAGGACATTAAAGCTAATTATTTAAAAATGTACAAAACCAAAGATATTAAGGGATGCACAAAATTTGTGTTTGAAGGGGAGAATTTTGAAATCCTTAGACGTATGTTTTGAATGCTCACCACATGCTTTCAAATGACAACACCATCACAAATGTGTCAAATCCCTTGAGTCCTCCAAGTTTCTTAATTCCCAAAACATTCTTTGCAATAATCTAAGAAAGCATAACTCAAGTGCTTCACCAAGTTTCATTATCATCAGGACACGCTACAGCAGACTTACACTTCTCTTTGAAAATCATTCATATGCTAAAATATTTACAATTCCACAAGACAACACACACGGTGTCCCCAGATTTACAGAATTCTCTACTATCAAAACGTTTTACATATTTCTGTTTCAAAACTACATGTCTTGCTTTGATTCTAACGCATCAGATTTTTCTGTTTTGTTTAAACTTCACTTTAATCAATCAGTATCATACTTCATGTAAGGTCAAAACCTCTCCTTCATCCTGACAACTTCCTATTCTTTCTTAAATATCTTTAATAATGTGCAACATCTTCCCACCTTCTCCAATGCTCCCTACCTCAGACACCGGGAGAAAGCAACTTATTTCCTGAGAATATTTACACTTCGATTTGAAAAGCCTTTAAGTGAAAAATACATGTCAATACTAAGACAGTTAATTAAAATACACAAAACTTGAGAGACACGTCTCCACACAGCAGATATTTTTTTTTTAAGCACTAACAAAACTACCTCTTTCTCCCACTCTTTCAGGCCCTCCTTTTTGGTTGCTGTTGTAACTGAAGACATTTTCAAGGTCTTGAATAGTGTTTACTATTGTTCATACCTCTTTTCAACACATGACTTCACTTATAATTGAGCTTATTTCAAGTCATTAGTACAGCAACTCAACAACTCTTAAGATGTCCCAATTGGTATTATTTTGAAAAGCTAGAGATCTGAAACATCTATGCAAACTGTTATGGCCTTGAACTTCAATTCAGAGGATCTCAAAATATCTCAACATACAAGGCCATGCTTTCACCAAGTCGAAGATCAAAGTCATTGTTCAAATTTGAGTAATAATTTTGAAAAACAGAAGCCTACTTAGTTTGCAGTAAAGGTAATTGTTTCTTCCCCTCAAATCCATTCTAAGCTGATGACCCAAAAAACTACATAATAAAAAATACGGAGTTTTATTACTATAAAGGAAATGGCTGGTGTTGCGTGTTCCACTCCCCCTGCTACCCCAGACTACTGATTTCAGAAAGCTTTGGCCTGTGAGGTAATGCAAGTCTCTTGGATAAACACTGAAACGCTTCTGTTGTATCGGATACAAATATTTGTTCCCTAATCCCACTTCTACCCTACTTTTAGTGAATAAAACTGCTTAGATGAAAAGCGACAAATAAAGAACAAAACTAAAAACAAAGCAGACAATTCCTGTAATGGTTCAGAAGTGCAAAAAGTTTCTATTTCTAGAATAACCGTTATTTTAGAAGAGTCTTCTGCAATTCTATCACAGAAGAAATAAGGCAAAAAAATAAGGAATATCAGACTACAGAACAGGCTGAGAGAGACAGGCTTCTCTGTCTCCCTCTTCCCTACCCCTTTTCCTCACTGCAACCTCTCAATCACATTCTCTTCAATGACAGGGCCAGGAAAAACAAGCATGCTTGAAATGCCAAGGACCACTATTTTTTATTTCTAAAAAACTGCCAGTAGATTATTTTCAATGCAGGAGATTTCATATTAAAAGTAGGTTAGTCAAGTTGCTAGAAACCTCCCGAAAAAGCAGAAAGTCAATCTACAGACTACTATGTGTAGCTGATTAAAGCATTTGCCTTATTTCCAAGAAGTCCTTAAGTAATTCAAAATACATCAATGTGTTTCACTTACATCTATGAAAACCCATGAAGTACAAAACATTAAGCAAAACCAATGCCAACCGTTTTATCGTAAAAACAACGGAACATCTACGGCATGAGGTTTATCTTTTACTTCCTAGCATATTACATTGAGTTTGTGTGGTGGGGTTTTGGTAGCAGGGGAGGGTCTACAGGGATAGCCCCTGAGAGGAGCTGCGAGAAGCTTCCCCGGCTCCAGAAGCTGGACCTGTCTCTGGCCAGATTGGACCCACCTCCCCTCTGGCCAGGGTCGAGCCAACCAGCACCTCTGCAAAC